ATTTAAAGGTAGATTTAGTGATGGACTCTGAATCATTGTTTTGCTGCAGAAACCAAATGACCTTGAGCTTTAGGTGCAGTGTCCATCTAACTAAGTCTTGTAATCTTGGGTCTACCCAAAATTTATTTTTGTTCTTGTTTTTGAGATTTATATACTAAGAGCCAATTCTGTTGGATTTTTACTATTCTTTTGAGAAAATTTTACTCAAAAAAAGTTCAAATATCTTCCAGTGCAGCTGCAGCTGGAAAATTGCATATGGTGAGACTTCTTATTTAAAGAATGTAGATCATGATTTTCCAAGAATTCTTCCCACAGAGTCTGACCACTAGTGCAATTTACACTACTGGTCAGACACACAAGCAATAGCTGTCAAGCAATAATTGGCAGATTATTGCAATCAATTTGAGTAGAATACATAATTTAAATTCTTTGTTAGTATATCAATCTCAAAAAACGATCCTTTATCATATAGGGTTACAGTGGCTTGATTGTTTTATTCACTTAAAAAAAAAAATCTTCATTTGAAAACCAACTTTTGATGATCTGAAATTGGAGAGAAACAAAAAACTGAAATCAGCAAATAGATGCATACTTTTTCACCAGACTGTAATGTTGAAATGAGACAATCCAAATGTTTTTACCAGGTGTTGGCTTTCTTTGGGCATGATAATTTAGTCAGGAGCAGCACAGGAGTTTCTTTCTTTAGCTGTTCTCCAGAGTCACCCTCTGGATCAAATGCCAGTCACTTAAAAGCAGATACAGTATGCTCACACTGACCACTTTGTGCTGTTTTTGTCTTTAAAAGATCAGGTTTTATTTGCTTGAGGACATTTTGTCATGCTTGGCTTACCACTGAACTAACATGGAAATCTTTATCTCCATAAAAGAAAGAACGGTTGCTTAGGAGGTGAAATACAGTTTGTTTTTAAACGTACTGTTAATGCACACATTGCAGCTTTTAACTTTTATCAAGACTGGCTTTTTAATAGCATCATGTAAGATAAAAAAAAATTCTGCAAATTACAGGGCCTTGCAAAAGTTTTCATACCTGGAGAAGTTATTTTTTTGGTTTTTTTGTGTCTGATTTCAACTTGTTTGGAATATATTGCATTTTACCAGCTGCATGTTAGGATCTTGAAGGAATCAAGATCAGAAATGTTAGAAGTACTATGTAATACAAAAACTAGAGTTCAGAATCAAGTTTCAACCAATTTATTAAAATATATGGCTAAACTTCTCACAATATTTTACATGGAGTTTGGAGAAGAGCATAACTTAAGCTTGATCCAGACCCCACAAGTACAGAGAAATTTGTTCTTGTTCTTTTTGTGACAGCAAGAACTACCGTAGAAAACAGGTTTACCTAGCTAAGCTGCCAAAAGTATGGAAAATCCCATCCATTGTAGCGTACGTCCTATTCACAAAGGAAAACACAGGGGCAAAAGAAACATTTCTTAGATTGATAAGGAGGCAGAGGAGGGCAACATATTTCTGTTACTCAGAAGAGGAATCATATAAAAGACTATATTTTGCTCAAATATTTTATTTTATCTATCTATCCGTCTGTCTGTCTATCTATCTGTCTATATATCTATCTATCTGTCTGTCTGTCTATCCATCTATCCATCCATCAATCTATCCATCCATCCATCCATCCAGAGCCCTTCCTCAAACTATTGATCTCATAACGGATCACTGTACAGAGTTTATCGTCTTCAAATCATCGCCACTTTTCCTATTTAACAACAACAGCCATCCAAATCCTGACCAATCCCACCACTATTCTCAGACATGCTGCGAGGAAAATGTTCTGCCCTGACCATGTGGCAGCACAAAAGCCTTGGTTCTATATCAGCCTTTAGCAGTCACACAGCTCTTATAAAAGTATGACGTCAGAATTATCCAAGCCCTTTTTATGGGGGGAGGTTCCTGAAGAGATAGCACCCTTGTTGAATCCAATCTGATTTCTCATTGGTCCTTACCCAGTCTTTATCAGTAGATTATGGCTCCCTCTGCCCCATCAGCTGTGATTATTCTAGTTGGCACCAGGTTTTCTGCCTACAGCAGATAATGTATTTCTGACAGGCACAGAAAAATAGGAACATGACCTCAGGCTAAGCTGAAGAAATACACATAAACAATTTCACTGACTTTTAAATAATAAACCTTCCTATAAGAATAAATAGACTGAAAACTGGACCAAAAAGGAACCCATCGCTCCCTTTGCACTCAGTCACCTCTATTCACTGATCTGTTTGAAACACTTCTGCATCTTTGCTCTGAGATTATCAACATGTTTATTTTTGGCTTCTTGCATATCTGCTCTGTTTTAATGTGCTTTGTATTTCTAAATAATTCACTCAGGACACATTTACATGTAGGATAAGATCAAGCTTTGTAAGGTCAAGCATGTTCGTGTAAGGTACATGTAAGGTCAAGCTTGATGAAAGACACCATTGTCTACCCAGCCCATAGGCACCTAGAGATGTTTACAGAAGTTAGGAGACATCGGATATGAAAAAAAGAGGATAAGTTTCTGTCCTGGAGCAGAACTAAACAGACTGATGTGATTCTTGCAATGCTGCGACTCTGTTCTTATTCTTGGAACAATTAATAGACCTTTTTTACAGCATCTGATAAAGGTAAAAAAACCCTCTTCGCTGTCATCCGTGTTCACAGAGGATGGTGTGTTCAGGGTGATGAGCAGCGTTGGATTTGAAACAACTGCTTTTGATTCCTGGATGCATTGATGTCAATTTTTTTGTTCCTACACCACTTTTAGTTCTAGATAGATAGGTAATATATAAATAAAGTTTAGCTCACTCCTACACTCGCTCACATACTCACTAACTAGTACACTTGCCTAGTTTAGTCTTTTCAAACACATGCAAGGTTTTGCATATAGGACTTTACTTCAGATCTGACTAGAGCAGGCATGTCCAAAGTCGGTCCTTGAGGGCCGCTGTCCTGCAGGTTTTAGAGGTTTCCCTGCATCAGCAAAGCTGATTCTGATGATTGCAGTTCAGCAAAAGCCTGTTAATCGACTATCAATGGAAATCTGCTGGACTGAAACAGGGAAAACTCCAAAACCTGCAGGATAGCAGCCCTCGAGGACCAACTTTGGACATGCCTGGACTAGAGCATCATCTTCCTGACGCAAATTTTAGATCATACTACTTTTGGCTTTAATTTGAACAGTTTCTGTTCTTGTCAGTCTTTCAGTAGTCAGATTTGTGTATTTGAGTACACATCTAAAACTCATCAGTAGACTCTCCCATCTGAGATCTAGGTCTCTGCAGCTCCTCCAGAGTTACTATGGGCGTTTTTGGTGGTCCTGTGATTAAAGCTCTCCTTGCTGGGCCTTGCCATATCTTTTTAGATCTACAGCTGTGTCTTCATCTTTCCATTTTCAAGTGATAGATGAAACAATTCTCTATGAAATGTTAAAAGTTTGAGAATTTTATTTTATGACCAATTTGATGGTGTTAGAGTAAAAGAGGAAGAAAGCTTGTGAGCATTTGCTGTTTGTTCACTAATGTTCTCTAGCAAACCTCTGAGGTCTTCATAGAGATCAAATGACACACAGATGAAGCCGCTAAGTAACCTGAAAACAGTCCTGGTGCACTGGAATATTTTGGAATATTTGTGTAAAAGGGTTTCAAAATGAGTTTGTGCCTCTTTTTACTTGTTAAGGAAAGGAAAACACGTTGGATCATTTCTCATCCATTTCAGATTCATATGCTAATTAGTGTATCTCATAAAATCCAAATAAAATACACACTAGAATTGGGGTTGTTTTCTGTAAAACAAAATAGGCACCAGTTAAAGTATTATGCTTATAGTGCATTGCTTCCTGTCTTTCAATCAGCCGGACTCCTCTGTGGAGCCGTTCTTCAACTCGGTGGTGAAGCAGCTGGGAATCCCCAACACCTTTTCTCTCCAAATGTGCGGAAATGGATTGTCAACCAGCAGCGTGGTCGACCCTCCTGCTGGCAGTCTTGTGAGTATCCACAATGGCCACATAAGGTTGCCTAAATAATAAACTATATTCATTTGTAATCTGATAACATTTTGAAATTGTTTGATATCAGCTTTAGGGTTTTATTACATTTTAACATACCGTCCTGGTTGTGCTGAACCACTGGAATGTTTCTCAGTACTTTCTACTCAACAAAATGATTAAACATTAATTGACCAGACAGCAGCTGAGTGCAGTTTATAAACATAATAGCTGATGTCCTGTGTGTCAGCAAATTTTCCCTTTGGATGCCTATTCTGGTTAGAGAGGAGCTTAATATTCTAAAATAGCTTCCTGCTGAGAGCAGGTCTGTCGCTGTTGCACACACAACCTTGGCACCTTGCACCCTCTGATGCTGACAGATGGATTAGTTGGTAGGAGGCTTCTGTGTGTTTATGCAGTGTGCTGGGCCAGAATGTGAGCAGATGGATGAACCTTTGCTTTTTTTTTTTCCTAGATAATGGGTGGGGCTGAACCAACTCTGTATCGGGGGCCGATTTGGTACACCCCTATTGTAGAGGAGTGGTACTACCAGGTGGAGGTGTTGAAGCTGGAAGTTGGAAATCAGAATCTGAATCTGGATTGTAAAGAGGTAAACATCAAGCTCTGCACTGTCTGACTGTAATATAAAATGCTTCCCACATTTATCGCCACTGCTGGTAAAGATGTGTTACAAGCCTTATAAGGAAGCCATCTTTTACTTGGGCTGCATGATCTCATATGGAAAATACCTGAAAAATTCAGTATTTAAATTGATATATTTAGCATGGATATAGTCATGTTGAGAAATGAAGGATGAACCATCCGTCCTTAAATGGCTGTTGTGACAAAACTGCAGAAAAAGAAAGGCAGAGGAGGAAGGACAGTGTTTAGCAAAACAGAAAGGCAGTTGCAACTATTATGTGGCTAATAATCTATGTGTTTATTATTTTATTGATGTATCGACTAATAATCAGTTACCAAAAAACATTTTATAGAAGATCTTTTAAGGAATTTGAACAACGTTCAGCTAAAACTTTGCAGATTCAGGACTTCTGGATAGAGAATATGTACGGACAAAGACGCTTTTTCATCTTACATGCAAAATATGTTTAATTATTATAATTTTTTTTACTGTTTACTTTCTGGTCCAAATTGTTTTTCTGTATACTTAACAATTGATTACCAAATTAATTGGCAGTTATTTTAATGAGACAAAAAATAAAATTTATTGTTTCAACTCTAAAAGGCAAAACTTTTGTTAATTTGTATGGGAACACATTTGATTTAAAGAAACAAATAACATGAACAGAAGCCAAATTAGTTCAATTTAATCAGTGGGTAATCCATGAGCACCTAATATTGAAAATGACAAAAATTTGTTTGATTTAGATTTTTTATTATTTCAAAAATGTACATTCATGATCTTTTGATTTTTCTAAAATGTTAGCAAATTTTTTATAGCTTATTTATTTTATAATCTTACATTTATGCATTAACATATTTTATAATGAATTTTCAAGTGATACCATGTACTGTGGAAGTAGCTAATCTATGTTTTTATTAATATATTATTTTATGCCCTTTGTTTGGATAACTGCTAATACTTATTCATGTTCAAAAATATAATTTTCTTCCAGTGTAAATAATAGTAACTGGGATTTCAGTTAGATCACAGACATAATCATAACTTTTCACATATATAAGCAGCCATATTAACAGGATTCCTGGGGGTCTTAGCAGAGAAACAGGCCCATATTATCACAGACCCTCCTCCATACCTAATAGTGAGCATGATATTTCTCCTTATTATAATTTTTTTCTGTTCCTCTGAACCATCTGCAAAATTGGTTGCCAAAAATTCCATTATTAGCTGTCCAGAGCTTGCTGTCCTCAGTAGATTTAACATGTTTGTTTGTGATGGCATCCAAACCAATCAGATCAAGTCTGATTCATATTGAGACGTGGAACTCCCAAGATTCCATGTGTAACTTAAATAAAAGTGGTGGAGTTATGTATTTTATTTTTTTTCTTGTACAAATAAATGTTGAATAAAATGTATTTTTCAAAAGAAGATTAACTTAAAGGTTTTTCACACATCTTTACTACAACTATTATTGCAGCATAGTAGCTGTCCTTGAGCAACAGAGAGACTGTTAATACTAAAGATCTGCTTGTTGGATGATTTTTTTAAGGTTATTTTTAGTGGATCATTTACATAAATGTAGAACGCCTGCTGTACTGTTGAGGAATGTAGTTTGCCTGCTTTTAAAAAAAACAAAAAAAAAACCCCCCGGTGGTTAACCATCCTTTTTAACGGGGTTCAAAGGCCCGGTGAAATAAAAAAAAAAAAAACGCTGCACATCTCTCTTTTTTCTTTTTTTCTCCCCCCAGTATAACTCAGATAAAGCCATAGTTGACAGCGGGACAACGCTGCTGAGACTTCCTGCCAATGTCTTCAGTGCGGTGGTGGAAGCCATCACAAGCAGCTTACCGGTACGCTGCCTCGTTCTCACAGACGATGATGAAACAGGTTGTCAGAGCAAAGGGAGGCAGAGAGAGAATAGTTGATCCTTACTGTTTAGGGATGCAGCAGCTGTAGGTAGAAGGGTTCAGGGGGTTCCTGCTTGGAAAGTAAGTATGCTACCTCCATGCAGTTGTTTATTTTAGATTCTTTAGGCATTTTCACCTTTTGAAACTACATTCAAGATCAATTTGAACATTTGCCTGTAACATGCTCTCATTCTTGCAAAGCTGTCAAATGAAAGACAACATCAAAACGTGTTTGGTGCCAAAGTGACCTTCTCTTTCTGTTCCTTTATCATTCACGCTGCCTGTCTTTTTCATTTTAACTCTTTTTTTTTTTTTTTTTTCCCCTCTCTTTGATTTAGATCGATAATTTTTCTGCAGGGTTCTGGGAGGGCACCAAACTCGCTTGCTGGACAAAGGGTGAAACCCCCTGGGAGTTTTTCCCAAAGATCTCAATCTACCTAAGATCCACCAACTCTAGCCAGTCCTTCCGCATTACTATCCTGCCTCAGGTAGCTATGCACAGAAAGGAAAATCCTAGCTCCACCTTCCCCCAGAGGACCTTTATGAGGTGTCATATATGGTGTTATTTTGTCACATTACAGCTTTACATCCAACCAATCGGAGACTTGGAGGACTTGGACTGCTTCCGTTTTGGCGTATCTTCCTCGGCTAACGGATTGGTGATTGGAGCCACCGTTATGGAAGGTTTCTATGTGGTGTTCGACCGCGCCCAGAGGAGACTGGGCTTCGCTCTCAGCAACTGTGCAAGTAAGGAAGCAATGCCTTTAAAACATCCACTTATGAATAGAATAAGAACTCTCAGTGTCTGTTACCAGTTTATTTTAGTAATCTGCTAAACTTATTCCTGCTGCTTATCATTTTTAATGTTTTTCTGTAGTCCTAACTATACAATAGACTTATCTGGCCTCTTTAAAATGTTGGTTAGATGTAGCAACATGTGGATAAATGGCTCAATGCAGCAATGTAGCTGATGATGCTCCTTAGTGTTGAATATTTCCACAGAAAATACTCACAATGGCCCTAAACTAATACGTATTTTGTCATCTTACAACCTAAAATCTTGAAAGTGTTTTATTGGGATTGAGATTAAAGAGCAACACAGTGAGTCCAAAACTGAGAAGTGGAATGAAACAAATGGTTTCAGCATTTTCTACAACTAGAAAACTAAAAAGTGTTTAATGCATTTGTATTATGCCCCCCTTTACTCTGTTAACTCAAAAAAAAATAAATAAAATTTGAATGACCTTCAGATTTCGCTAATTATTTAGAGCAGGTTCTTAAACCCGGTCCTCAGGGCCCTCTGTCCTACATGTTTTAGATGTTTCCTTGCCTCCAGACACCTGACCTTACTAAAAAGGTAATTAACAGGCATTTGCAGCATTTGGGGGCTGTTGAGGAGGAAATGCAATCTTTTGCATCATGTGTGCTGGAGTAGAGACATGTCTAAAACATGAAGGACATTTGACCCTGAGGACCAGGGTTAAGAAACCCTAATTTAGCGAGTATAGCTGAACTGTGTTTGAATCTAATCAAAGTATAAATCCAGCTGTTCTCTTAAGACCACAGGGGAGAACGTCTGTGAACAAACAGCATCATAAAGACTAAGGACCAATTCAGGCCTTTATGGGCAACTGGGAAGATGAAAGTTATACGAAGTCCAGAAGAAAGGATGCAGAAACGCATGCAGTGGTCAAAGCTAACATGTGACAGAAGATGCTCTGGTCACATGACAGTAAAACTGAACTTCATGGCATACATGCAAAATGCTGTTTGTTAACTAGCATTGCATGCCACTCTGAAGACGCCATGCCTTGTTGAGCTCATAAAGTGGAAGCTTCAGCATCAGATATGAAAGCATGTTACATTATTATTTACACAATCTTATTGGTGAGAAATGTAGTGTTATTTTCTCTGCTTGTTCAAAAATGAACTGCAGTGTGTTGGTTAATTATGAAAAGCCCTACATGAAGAACGTAGGTCAAGTTTAGGATTTTTTGCTCATTAAGTCGTTTTTAAAGTCAAAGTATAATCTTGGATTCATTAATAACCAATCCAAAAGCAAACTCTAAAGTTCAGGTTGTTTAACCAACACAGCATAATATGCAGAGCCAAAGGTAAGCCTCGCTCCATGTGCAGAAACGGCCTCAGAGGGTTTTTGATATAAGTTCCGCTCATGTGCTGCATCAGGTATTAAGTAGGCTAATAGTTTGGTTTTGTGTTTGTATGAGCTTTGCAAAGAGTTCGTGTTCCCATGTCAAAGTACAAAGATCACCTTTGTTCACACTAAGCAAATGCACTTTGAGCAGATACTGGCCTGAGGCCGAGGATGCAGACTTGTGACGTTTACTTGCCGGCTTTACTCTCTGATCTGGTGAACAGATTAATGGGCCTATTGATGAGCTTCTGTGAAAGTTGAGGATGTGGCCCTGTAGCTGGCAGCTTTTTAAAGAAACTAATAGGTACATTTGATCAACTTTGTTTTAAATAGATTTTGTTTATCATTAGTTATAATAAATTATCTTAATATCATAAAACAACACACAGAATAATTTCACATACAGCTCAAATTGCATCCTGCAGAAAGACCAAAAATAAA